AGGGGAGAGAGGTGTGAATCACCTCACTTTGAGGTCACTGTGTACCCTAAACACAAAGCAGGCTCTCCACAGAAATGACTTTCAGCTGGCTCAGTGGTGACCACCATGGGAAGTAAATACTGCCTGTCTACCTACTGACTAAAATGTAGCTTCTAGCCTCCACGATCAGTAATAGCAGTGAAGATTCTGGAGTCAGACTCTTCTGGTTTGAATCTCAATACACTACTTACTAGTGGATGAACACAGAGTTTACTTAACCAGTTTGAGTCTCTGTTTCCTCGTTTTCACATGAAGACTAATAGAAGCAGCTACCACTTAAATTGTTTTTAGAATTATATCAGCTAATATATAAAGTGCTTACCATATAACAAGCTGTCAGTAAAGTTTGTCTCTGGCTGAGAGGCAGGAGAGTGGAGTGTGAGTGCAGCAAGTCAAGGCAGACCACCTAAGTGTGAAGCCCAGATGTGTCATATACTTGTCTGCTGTCCTTAGGAAAGTTTCCTACATTTCCCATGCTGCAGTTTCTCAGTGATGGTACATACATGCAGGATTTTTGTGAAGTCTGAATTAATGCTTATATAATACTTACAACAGTGCCTGAATAAGTGTTGTTAAAAATAACATCCCTAGAGAGTTTGTGTCAGAGTACAATGGACAAATAAGAATCCTAGTTCTAGGCCACATCTTTGCTGACCCTAGTCAAGCTCTGCTGCCATGAACAAGGGACTCATCACTTAAGCTATTTGTGACTCAATCCTAGGACCTCCCTGTACTTGGGAGCTGTTCCAAAATGCCTCCTAACTCCAACACAAATGTACAGGGGACCAATCCTAAAAGTTGAGTTACCACGAGATACAAGTTTACAAACGAATTTTTCTCTTTGTAGGTGCCCCGTCATGGCAGGGGGGTTGTTTTCTATCGATAAAAATTACTTTTTTTAACTTGGAACATATGACCCTGGCCTTGATGTTTGGGGTGGAGAAAACATGGAGCTATCATTCAAGGTATTACCAAGTGTTTCTCAAATTTTCGTTACAATTAAGAGTTTGTCATTTTAAAATAGTTTCATTTTACTAATACGATCAGATATGTGACTGCTACTGGGAGGAAATTTCACAGAAATTTTAGTCTCTGGGTTAATTTTTTTATATCCCAGATTGAATTTGGAAGAATCAATCACTGTCATTAAATTTATTAGAGTTTCCTAATATTTCACAACACCGTTTCTGCATCTAAATATGGGGGAAATGACTTTCTGCCATTCTGCGTAAATGCTATGGGATTTGTACTTGTTGCAAAATAACTCTTCTGAAACATCTCTCTAATTACTGAAAGTAACAGAATCTTTCAGTAATGGGTTATCATGGAGATTACAAATGACAGAAATACAAAAATGTACCTGTACAGCAGGCCATTAACAAGCCAAGTTTGTCCCACCATGCAGCTCCTTTGGACACTCTGTACGATCATTTATGCAATCGTTTATTGAGATCTAAGAAAGCCTTAGCACCAGCACTAGTAGACAACATCCAAAAAACGGCTGCTTTCTTACATTAACAAGCCAAGTTTGTCCCACCATGCAGCTCCTTTGGACACTCTGTACGATCATTTATGTAATCATTTATTGAGATCTAAGAAAGCCTTAGCACCAGCACTAGTAGACAACATCCAAAAAATGGCTGCTTTCTTATGGGGTTGGGGGGTCTGCATTAACTGGAGTGTGACTTTGGAGCTCCTGATGACAAAGAGTGGCTTTTGAGGTGTGCACCACAAGCCTTATGGGTCTCCCCAGGATGAGAGAAGGGGAAGGTGAACAAATGGACATCTCTACTCCTTTCCCTGATTCAACCAAAACAGGGACTCATATTGCACATTTTATACATTGGGATTCAGTGGAGATTTCTTTAGAAAAAAAAAAAGATTTACACTGCAGCTTAAGAAAGTAAAAAATGATATTTTACTAATCCTAAAATGATCCACAGCAATATGCAAAAATTAATCAACCAGCAGAGTTTACTTTACTATTACAGAAGTATTTTCAGCATGGAGAGTGCTACTCAAACGGAGGGAAACAAAGTTGCCAGCTGCTTTCATGCCTGTGATTTGTGGACAGTCATTTGATAATTGATGTTTATCATTAAATTGTTCCAGGTGTGGATGTGTGGTGGCGAAATTGAGATTATTCCCTGTTCCCGAGTGGGCCACATATTCAGAAATGACAATCCATATTCCTTCCCCAAAGACCGGATGAAGACGGTGGAGCAGAACTTGGTGCGGGTTGCTGAGGTTTGGCTTGATGAGTATAAGGAGCTATTCTACGGCCATGGGGATCACCTCATAGACCAAGGGCTAGATGTCGGCAACCTCACTCAACAAAGGGAACTTCGGAAGCAACTGAAATGCAAAAGTTTCAAATGGTACTTGGAGAATGTCTTTCCCGACTTAAAGGCTCCCATTGTGAGAGCTAATGGTGTGGTAAGTCCAAGTGGTAATTTAAAATGTTACTCTGTAAAAGCAAAACACCAAAACTCTTTTAAAAATATGTAGGAAAGGATGAATTACTACATTATAAATAAACACCAAGTACGAATGCCAATGGCACAAAGCATGGTTGAGAATTAAATATAGGTAAACTTGACGAAGATTATCAGGGTGGTCATGTTCATTGATTAATTCAATAGATACCTATTACGTATCAATAGACCAGGCAGTATTTCAGATTGGATCACAGAGTGATAATAAAATAGTCTTGATCCCTTCCTTATGGAGCTTAATGTTGAATAGGGAAGAAAGAAACAAATAAGCAAGTAAAGAGTAAATACAAAATAAATTTCTCTCATTTAGGGAACATGCCCCAAGTGTCCCCTAAATAAAATTCATAAAGAAATCCTCTCGGAAAAAGTGACTTTGAAACCTGGGCCTGAAACACAAAATGTCAGCCAAGCTCTTAAGAAGATGCAGTGAGTGCAAAACCTAAGACAGGTGAAAGTTTGAGGCATTCAGGAACTGAGAAGAACGTGGACACTGTTGTCAGGGTGTGAAGGAGGGAGCAGTGGCACCAGGTGAAGGTCAACAGGGAGGCAGGAGTCAGATCACAGAGGTCCTTGTAGGCAGAGCAGGAACTGTCTGTCTTCATTCCCTCCCTCCCTCCCTTTCTTCCTTCCTTCTTTCAATCTTCTAAGTGTAATAGGAAGTTTTGAGCACGGTTAAGCAATGGGATGGCATGATTTAATTAGGATATTTTAAGACTTCAAACAGGGTTTAAAAATAACAGAAATTGTCAGAGAATAGCAGATAAAATTCCAGGGCACAAGGGAAGATACAAAAGAGAAGCCAACCCAGATAGCTTGAATAGAGCACAAAGCTAAGAAGAAATCAAGGAAGAGGAGAAACTGGAAGAAAGCCATTTTAAACACATTCTAGAAGTGAAGCTTCATTTGAAGAGGTTGGTAAGACATGAGAATGTTTACCAAAGAATGGGTTCAGGGTGATTAGTCAAGCCTTCACCCAGAGCTCTTCCCCAGCTGTGTTTATTTCTAACCTCTTTTATTATATTTCTAATTTAATTTTTACTTATAAATATTCCCAGTGTTATTTTGTTTCCTTTTAGAGTTTCCTTTATCTTTATTCAGGAAGTTCTCAATCTTGGCCATCAGTAAGTCTGCTCTTTTCGGCCAAGTATTTTCAGTTCTTCCTAGAAGTAGATTGTATAAACCAACCACTCTCTGCCTGGCAAATCTGGTAACAAGGACTTAATAAAGTCATTCCCCTTGACAATGTTGTAGAAATCCAGGAAGGAAGAGAAAGACAGGAAACTAGTCCACAAATTTGTCTGTTTTTTATTTAAATTCCACTAAGTATATGTGACCTGTTTACAAATAACATAACATATTATCAAATTGCCATTTTAATAGGTCAAAATAGAATAGCAACTACTTCAGTTGTCTCGACTTGATACTTTACCTTAAGTCACTCATTAGAAAGAACAGCATGAATTTATATACACTGTTCAAATAATATGTCTAATATATCTCTAAAATGAATTTACATTTTTTAATTCCATCTACTGAAAGGAAAAGAAAGGAATTCTCAACACAGTAATTTTTTCCTGTGCTAACACCACAGAATCTCAGCAAGAGCACTTCTAAGCTTTGGCCACCAGAGGGAACTAAAAAACTACCTTTTGTCTCCACTGTGATTCTAATTTGTATTTCCCAAGAATTTTTTGCAGAGCTCTCCTAATGAAACTGCTTTCTGCCTCTGCCTGAACTGTAATATATCAAAATACAGCAAATATTTTTAAATGATTTTAACAAATGCATTTCTTCTGTTTTTCTCACTATTTGCTGCCTTCCTCAGACAAATTTCAATAAAGATGTCATTTGCTCCCTTCTGAAGTAATCAGTAGGAAGTGTTACCCCTAAAAAAAAAAAAAAAAAAAAGTGGCTCTTTCTCTGCGTAACTCGGAATATGATTAGCAAGACCATTATTTTGGATAAAGAATCTTACCAAAAAAATTAACTCAACAACTTCTTTTTGTTACTTGCTTCGTGTTTTCCCAGCTTTCAACCTACAAACTTAGGAATTTAAATCCAGTGAGTTTTTGTTTTATTTTTTAAGAGAACAAATAATTTATTGTTTAACCAAAAATATTTAAAAATAATAAAAGAACCTTGCCAATGATGTGTTCTTACATTGGATTAAACTATTAGCAAACAGCCTAATGTTTAACAATTCTGTAATAAAGTATGAGAAATTCTCACCTTCTAAATTGGAAAATGAAATAATTGAACATGGATAACTTATAATTTATGCACTGCCTGATTTTTTAAAAAAAGTTAAAATGGTTTACAATAAAAGCATGAAATTGGAAAATGAAATAATTGAACATGGATAACTTATAATTTATGCACTGCCTGATTTTTTTTTAAAAGTTAAAATGGTTTACAATAAAAGCATAAAAGCAATTCTTTAAAAATAAAACAAAAAAGTTAAAAACCATTTATAATGAACTAAAGAATAACACTTTCTTAGTACTTTATAGACCATTTCTCTATGAAGAAAAGTAGTTTCCCCAGTAATTTCTGATAAAAAGTACGGGAAACATGTTTTCAGATGAAGAGAGGAAGGAGGATGTAAGAGATTAAAAAGTTTTCTGTTTTCTTCCAATGCTTGGAGGAAGGGATTGTACAAAATAAATACAAAGAAATCGATTAAACTGGGGGTTCCCAAACACTGTCTGAGCAGTGTTAATTGTGCTGCCATCGGGTTCTATAATCAAATAAATTGGGAAACTCTTTGTTCTGAGCAGCAAGCTGAACATTAACACCCTGAGGATTCTGAGTTCTAGAGTTAGAACAACCTGTTCTGCCGGATTGAAACCAGAGTATTCCAAACTCGTCTGAAGATAGAATATTTTCTGCATGATCCACAAATACAGATGCTTATGTTTATCTCTGCTAAGGTCCAGAGAACAATTGAGGCATGATTTCCTTGCATTAAACTCCAGGATTACTCTGCCTTCCTGCGTTTCTATTCACTCTCCTCCCTGAAATTTCTGGTAGTTGAATCCTCTGGGGCTGTGACTGCTCACATTCATTAATGGTGGATTGTCTCCTCCCATATTTATCATTTTTAATTGTGAATAGAGCTTTTTTCTGAGGATTTTTGATGAAGATTTAATCTTTCTAGAATTGCTTTGTGTTTTTCCTATGCCAGGCATCTCAAAAGTTACCAACCTGGTACTATTTCTAATGTTTGTTTCTAAGCCTTGAAGATCTGTGAAGGTTTCTATCCAGGGTGTTATGTAACTTTTCATCCCAAACCCTAATGAAGGTTGGCATAAAGTTTCTGATTCAGGCAGAATCTAGCTTCCCTGTTGTCTCCCTGTGCTAATGGTAAACTGCTTTCCTAGTACAACATTCCACTGAGGGTCTAACTCTTTAGTTTTCCATCTTTATGTGGAAGACCTCAGTTCCAACTCTCTGGCTTTTTCGTGCCCAAGTTTTTCTTCCGTCCTTACAAAGGGATAAGTCCCTTGCTGACCAACATTTGCAATTTTCCCTCTTGTTTTTAGTTTTTTCCTGCATTTTCTGGTCCCCAGAGATGCCCCTTACTTTCTTACAAGCTAAGCTATGCATGTAAAAGTGAGGACTGACACATTCAGCACCCTGTTATGAAGCCTGTAACTGAGCTACACAGCCTGCACCCAGAGTTAAAGCTCTTTCTTAGGACCACAGAACAGGAAGGAACACAAATAGTGTCCGTGACAACAAAGACCTCACCACCTCCCAGCTTGAGAAGCTTTCCTGGGACATATAATGTAGATTCAACTCTGCACAGCAATTCTGGAAATCTGAAAAGCCTACAGTGCCCTTTAACCCACCATCTCGTTAGCCTTGCCCAGGATGTCAAAGAGGGCAAGGAAATCAACATTTTTCTGCATTACATGGTGACTTATGGAAAGCTACCTCCATGTTTGACCCTGTAAATCCATTAGAAACCTGGGGACCTGCCAGAAAGTGCCTTTACGCTTGGCTCTGTATTAGCTTCCGTGACTTTCCTGTAATGAATTGTAGCTTGCTTGAGTCATTAGGAAGATTCTGACAGGGGATCAGTTGGAATCTGCTGTCCTTTGAAGATATCAATTTATCAGTGATTCAGTGCCTGAGCAGACAAATAGCTTAGAGGGGTCAGCTAGGAAACACAGCCCCAATTTATCAGTGATTCAGTGCCTGAGCAGACAAATAGCTTAGAGGGGTCAGCTAGGAAACAGGCTGTGTAACCCTTGGTTTGATTAAATTGCAAGTATGCGCATTGCCTTTGAATGTATGCATCAGATAAACCTAAGACAAGAAAATAACTACTTTTCATGCCACCTTTTATTCATTCGCTATTCAGAATTCCAGGCAAGGGTTATTTAAAAGCTTCTGTTTGTTGGCTCTGTGGCTGAGTCACAGGCCTATATTGACAGATTGAAGCTGTACTTTAGCAAGATTACATTATGTCTCTGTTAGAGATAGCGACCAATAAAATCGTATAGTGCTAAGTAATGCTAAGCTATTAAATTAACTATCTTTTAACCTTATTATAGTTTTATATTCTGTGTTTTCTGAAC